ACAAGTCTTGCATCACACAACAGCGATATTAATAAAACAAGCAAGCAATAAATACCATGATGAACAAAGCTGCAAAGACCTCGGCACTCAAGAAAGTGTTCGTACTGTAAGGAAATTGAGTGCAGTGTGATAAAACGTCATCTGGGTTGCTATAATCATTTCGAGAAGGTTAAGAAAAGATGAACACATTGCTAGGGGAAAGGAACAACAAATGCATACCGAAATCTGGTTCGAAATCCACTGACGACTGATCACAAGGAGAATGAGGAGGATGATTTATATACAGGTGTGTGTGAGAGAGAGTGCTGTTACCATTAAGCATCTTACAGAAGTACTTCCACGGGGACAAAAGTAGGGAAAAGAATACTTAAGAAAGGCGTGATGGATAAAATGCAAACTAAGTCATTGGCCGTTGAACTTCAACTGGATATTTCCAATGAAGAAACAGGAGTTGAGTTTACAGACTGGATTCATCTGGTTCAAAATACGAGTTAATGGCAATTTCCGGTTCCCATAAAAACGGACATTTTTTGACTACCTTCTGAATAAAACCAGCATAAAATCATTTACAACGAGGAAGATTCTGTTTTCAGTTGTAATAACTGAATAAATTAAAAAAAACAATCTTATAAACAGTGAAACAAAGGATGCGACTGAATTGATGGTGCTCCAAAAATGTAGCAGCTTCTGATCAGGGACAAGCCCAACCCGTAAGAGGTACGGAAAATCACAAAGATACCCGGAGAATTGAGAGGAGTTAATGTTCTCATCTCCTCATTCTCTACTACAATGAAGCTAAAACTGAGAATACTTTCACATGTTCAATTGTTTTCCATTCTTTTTCACTAAACAATAGAAATCGTGGTGTAATTACTCCAGCAATCATAAACCGAAGCTTCCAGTACTACCAATTCACTACCACAGAATGTCTTCCCTCTCTACCGCCGTCGCCCTTCCTGCTTTTTTCCAACAACCATCCCAACACAAACCTGACGCCTTGTGGGTCCATGGCGGGGTACGAGTGTGACAATTATGCAAATTGTTCTGGAATTACATAGGAAATTGCGTTGGTAGAAGCCAAGGCACAGCAGCGCTGGAGGTTTGAACCACACTAAGGGCAATCCAGCTGGAAGTTTCACACCCTACCCTGTCCCTTGCGGCATGAATGAAGAAGAAGAAGGAGAAGAAGAATATAACTTCATAAAAGAAAGTTGGATGTCGTAGGAAGAGATGTCTGTCTCTTTAAGTAAAACTGTTCAGAAGTTCCACACGCGCAGCAATAAATGATAAACTCACTTCTAATTGTCCTTCTCAGCAACCACTACAGAGAGCGTGTTTTTAATTTCACTGATTAACATTTAATTCGTCAATTTTGAAGTTTCCGTCTCCTCATTCCTAAATGAGCTATAGATCGAAACACATAATCGCCGAAAGTCGTCTTCGAAATACAGAAAGCCACTGACAACAAAACAAACTACAAAAAAACCAAGAATAGAGATCGCATAATAATTTCTACAGCGACAACCAGTGACTATTTTCCTCTAATCTGAAGCTCTCCATGTGATTTCGACAAGTCGAGTTTAAAGACGTCTATCAGTCCGTTTACTTTAAATATGTGCGTGTGCATTCGTCGAATTTCTGCTAGAACGTAATATCCTTTTGAAATGTTAACTAAAAACTGTGTTCAACAACACGATATCTGCGCCCCTGTAATTTAGAGTAATTTTCGCACCCCTTTCCGAAGTTCACGTGTACGCATGCCAGTTACAACTTTCTGTGCCTGCAGGGCGCAGGGACTATATAGGCCCAATGCCTCCACTTCCAGAAAAACGTCAGACAGGCAAGTAAGCAGGACTCAGGGATTCTACATTGTGGAAAATCCTTTGACACCAACTCGTGCGAAAGGAATCTTCCCCAGTGAGTGGAAACGCAAATCAAATCAAAGTGATGGAAGGCAGAATATTCAACAACCCCCCGCGCCCGACAGCCGACACCCGTACCGCTCATACACAACCATCATCATTTCGGTTCTTGCAGAGCAGTCGGTACAAGTTACAGTAGTTTAACTTTATTAAAAGAGAACGAACGCTCAGGCTAGATGAAGGGGAACAGAGAAATTCCCAGTTTACAAGATATGAACATACAAAGAACAGTGTCGATTTAAATTCACACACAGTCGATGTCAGACAGACCGCACTTCTCAACCCCATAAGCTCTTCCTACTCTGACGAAAGAACGGTTCACTTGAAGGCAAGCTTCTGTCATATGTTCGAGCATAAACGTATTTACACTCACATCGTGTACAAACGAGTACATATCAGCTCCGAGTCTGTTAACACTACACTGAGAGGAAAGCGAAAATGTCAACAAAAAAGATTCGTAAATAATACCGTAAGAAAGTAGGATACCGAACCTACTCATACAAACCAAGCAAATAACTGAAAGACATTTCAAGTGGTGGTATCGCTTCTAAAGCTGCTTACTGTCAATTCATTATTACATTCTGAGTCTGTAATATTCGGTTCAAATTAAGCGTGATAATATTAAATTTGGGGCTCTTGTGAACACATCAATAGACCTTCGGGTCCCATGAGACACAGGGAAGAAGAACTCTGGCCTTGTAATCCTGGGGCCTCGGGTTCGATTCCCGGCGGTGCCCGAATTTATAACTTGTGTTGGGTAAGGCCGTGGCCTGTCTTCGGGCCAAGATTTAAACCCTGAGACCATGAAATACGAAGCAGGAGTGCTAACCACGCGGCTGCAACGATCGGTCGGTCCCTTGGATGTTGGATCAGTCCACCTAGAAGCCTCATGCACTTACATGTCGAAATGAATAACTAGTACAGCCACAAAATAATTTCAGATAGCGTGAAACACGAATACAACAGCTAAAGCAGCAACAAGAACTGTAAACTGTTCTGAACTGAAGTTTCTCGTTACGCTAAAGTACAATGAGCGCTGTGGAGTAGAAAATATTCCGGCGTTTGCGAAATAAAAGAATTAACAGCGATAATGCTCTGTTGGATTTCAGTTTTATAACAGTTTTAAGTACACACGTGTAAATACAAACTCAAGGGTTGAAAAGCGAAGGGGTGAGGACACGTGGGGGAGGGGGGAGAGAAAAACTATCAGCGTGTTAAGGGAAGTAAAATTCCACGTAATTTGGACAGGCACATCAGCTTAATGAATACTATTTGTCCTCCTGCACAGTACTGCAAATAGTGGAATTCCGTATCTCTCTAAACAAGCGTACCAACCTCTCCTACATCATCAACCGCAAATAAATGCTACTAAACTTCCCCTCTTTTTACCCCTAAACTACCCTTTTCCCTGAATCACCGAACTACCAATGTGCAGTGACTGATAATGTTGTAAAATACACCCTTTGTGTACCTCCACCAAGATACGTTTCGATATCGATATTTGTTAACGCTGGAAATAGGAAGGAACAAGCGAGAGGGCGGTTAGGCAGTCTCTTTTGGTTCAGTGATAATCAGTATTACGCCATCGCCCTGACGATGGAAGTAGCAACGACATATGAAACATCGGTAAACTTCTACGATTCTATACGGCGCTATAACCCAGAAGACAGGTTACCAAAGTCAATTTTTTTTCCGCGTGGCAACCAAATTCGCTCGTAAAATCAACCGTGGCGGACACTGGCTATTATATTGGGAGTATACAAGCTTAATAATTTGTGCTTTTCACTTAAGTGTTATTACCTTGCCCAGTCAGGGAGGATGAGTTGGGAGAACCATGTAGCAGGCATGGGGGGAGATGAGAAAAGCATTCGATGATTCAGTTGGAAAACCAAAGGGAAAAGGGATATAATAAACTGCATAAAAGATAATCAAGGCGTACCTCAAGATTTGGTCCGGTGGCGGACTCTTACAAATGGCAATAAATATTCAAGTTCTATAAAAGGCAGGACATTTCAACAACGACCCTTATTCATTAAGTTAGTGTTCTTATTTCATCACTAGAATACTTTCCTCATTCATTAAACGTAACCGACTAAACTTTTACTTTATTCCGTAATATTAGAACAACTCTATCACCACAAGCGTCCCACGACTACCACGGAAGAAGACATTACGAAGCCTACTTTTTTAAATTCTTCTACTGGGTACGTTTTTCTACTTTGGTTGCTTCAAAGATAACAAATATTTAAAATCTTCAGGGCAAGTTTTGTATGATCCAGATTCCTTTCATGGGCCAGAAAGACGGGAGATGGATGCCTTTACCTAACTAAGATCGGCTAACAACAAACAGAAATAAAAACTTCTAACAAGTCTA